GGAATGCCCCTTGTGCAGTGATGTCGGTCCTTCACACAGGTAAACACAAGTAAACAAGGCCAACAGCTCAGGTTTTCTCAACACCAATGACCTAGTTTCTAAAAAAAAAAAAAAAAAAAAGTAGGGGCACACTGTTAGCTCAGTTGGTACCATGCTGGACTATACAGTAGATGGCCTTGGTTCGAATCCCAGACTGGGCAATTTTGAACTCGGGTCGATATTGTGGAGTTTTCAATTCCAAACTTCTCAATCCTTGTGGGCGGTTGGCGGGTGTTCTGGTATGGTTTGCGCCTTCTTTCCTATAAAAAATCTATCGTCCAGATCTCTCCCTTCTTCTTTTTTGTGTTAGTTATTCTCTTGTAACACCTCTAATCTTCAGCACTTAAATGACTTTATCGTGTTGCAAATTCTTACGAAAAATCTCAACCCATTTGGCTCCGTTCTGTTGGGGACGAACGTTAAATTCGGAGGTCCTACATCCTAAATAATCTGCTAATGTTGATACGGGTGACCCATAGGCCTACCTTACTTTGGATACAAGAGACAAACGGAGTAGCATTCTTTACTGCTCACATCAACAAAGTATATTGACAAGCAGGTTTTTTTGAAGAGTTAAGTATCGCCAACAGTTTATTTATTCAGCCACAGTTACGTTGACCGCCCGACACCCGCCCCTCCCCTCCTCAATTTCGAACCCGCTTGACCTACCTAGAGCGCAGACCTGGACGGTAGTGCTGGGCGGCTAGGTTCCCGATAATTGAAAGCTAGGAATCGTAGGAATCGACTCCGAATCCAATTGCTGAATTACTCTCTAATAATGTGATTTCTTCCGGTGGTTTCCAGGTTGGCTCCGGACATCTTCATGATATAGTATAATCTTTATTTCGGAACACTACGCAGCTTAAACTGGTATTTTTCAAAAATATTTTTTTAAAAAGAAGATTTTAATGATTAAAGTAACTGGTAACCGTTTATTTACGTAAAAAGGAGTCTGGAACTTTTGTTCCCCTGCATTCATCGTGGGAATCGGTTCCTGAATCGATTCTTCGCCCAGCTCTAGGACGGGTCGCAAAGGCGAACACAGTGAAGACATACGTGACTTTGTGTTCCTCGATGTATAAGAATACTTGCGGGCTTGAGGAGGGGAGTTTTAGGCCTACTTTACAAAAATTCTCTTGTGGGTCAACTCAGTTTGTCTTTTTTGTCAGTAATTTTACCGGCTTTTCCAAAGTTGGAAGTGGACCTGAGACCATGAGGACTAGGCTAAAGTGCGTCGGAGAAAAAAACAAACATATAATTTCTTACAAGAGTTGCCTTTCTTTGACGTTCAAACGTAGATCTAGGCCTTATATTGTGGTGTAAACTATGAACATGCAAGCAGCGAATAACTGCAAACACAACTGTCTCTCACTTAGATCTAGTGGGGGCTCTCGTGGCCTAGAGGTTAAGGTGTTGGCCTCTCATTCAAAGGTCCCGGGTTCGAATCCGGGTAGCGACCGAAAAATTTTCTTCTCTAAATTTGTCTCCTTTCACCTCATTTCCTGCTCTCTAGCAATGTTCTGTCGTCTGCTTTCGTCTCCTCTTTCTACCCCCACCCCGTCACCTCCTTTGCCCCTTCCTCAGGGCTCCTGATTCTTTCTGCAGCCTTTCTGCTGCTACTCCTTCGCTTCCTCTTACTGCTGTCTTTCAGCCACACCCCTGATCTTCTGGTAGGAAAGATCTACACCTAGCCTTCTCGGACAAGGGCGAAAAATCTCGGAGGGCCCGTGTGCAAGTTGCGCACGTTAAAGATCCCTTGGTGGTCTAAAATCGATTAAGAGTAGGCTTCGGCCGCCACCCGGGCAAAATTCAAAATTTCCTACCGACTGAAAATATTAGGTGTGTCCCGCGCGCTCATATGACCTTATGCAGTTGCGAGCGCCGTAAAAACACTTACCAAAACAAAACAAAATGAGATCTAGTGTTGATTTGGAAGCAAACACAAGCTTTACACAATCATTGCTCTGTATTTCTTCCTGTAGATTCTACGTGTTTTACTCCCCAGTCGACACAAAGTAGATCATTTAGGAGGCAGTTTCGAACCCTGTCTGTCCAGGCCAACCCGCACTGAGAGGGATACAACAAACATGTATTATGTAGCTTCGGTGGCCTAGTGGTTAGGCTCTCGGACTCGCAACCGTAAGGTCGTGGGTTCGAATCCCGTCAGGGGCCCGACGTTGTGTCATTGGTAAAGGCACTTTGCACAAATTTTCCTCACTTCACCCGGGTGGAAATGGGTACCCGGCTATAGACGGTGAACGATCTTGTTTCTTTGATAGTGTTTGAGCGCGTGAAATCCGCAGCTTGCACTGTATGCTTCTGCGGAAGCCGAGAATGTTTCCGAGTGTTCTCAGAGGGTCTGCTGGGGTAATAATAGTTGTAAAGCGCATAGAGAATGCTCTTGAGCATGGATACACGCTATATAAATGCAATTATTATTATTAAGTAGATCATTTAGGAGGCAGGTTTTGAACCCTGTCTGTCTAGGCCAACCCGCACTGAG